GCCAATGAATTTCATGTGCAGTTATCACCTGTACAGCTATCTATCCATGGAGTCTTGAAAGTTGCTATGAAAGTCTGACTAGGAAGAAAGCCCTAGACCTGATGATCTATATTTGAAAATTGGTCAGTGAAAACACTAGGAGTCCAGAGTGCAGTATACCAATCAAAAGACAGAGTTGGACCAGGTAGCATTTTACTCTATTGAGCATGGGCTTGCGATGAAGGGCTGACATGATAGCAGCTAGCAGCAGTGTGCTAGACAGTGACTCAAAAGTTTAGCTATTTAATCTTGTTGAATCCTAATTGACTTCAATAAGCTCCACAGAAAGGAGTTTACGAGGTGTAGTATGTTGTGTGTTATGCTGCTAACACAAAGATTACAGCTCTCTGATGGTTTGAATCCACCAAGTGAGGGAGAAACTGAGAGAAAAAAGATGGACAATCTCCTTTTTATTTTTTTAAGGAGAAGGGTTATTTGGGTTTTTTCCATGATGTTTGATACTACCTATTGCTTTCTTGACATTATACGAATCTTTTCTTGATAAAAATAAAAAAAATGATTTATCATAAAGAGTCAGTATATTCCACACTACTCCTACAATAAAAGACAAGCAGGCAGGGAGCTCTGGTGGCCTAGTGGCAAGGAGCTGTAACTACAATCCCAGAGGCGCACGGTTCAAATCCACCAGATGCTCTGCCGGGGAAGGAGGGACAATCTCCTGTACCAGTCAGGTCTGATTTGACGGTACACTCACACAAAAATAATAAAAATTTAAAAAAAAAAAGACAAGCAGAGAAAAATATTGTATTTTCAGGGTAACATTAATTTTTAAAAATAAAGTCAACATAGTTTTTGTAGTAAACTATCCTTATTTTTAGAATTATGGCTATTAAAAATTATCAAGAAAAGTATGAATCACTTTAAAGCAATAACCAATTCTAATTTGTTGTTCCCACACTAATTGATGTTTTGAGGTGCCATTGATTGGAGTCTTATAGTGAACCGATGAACAACAGATCTGAACTACGTCCTATCTTGTGCCATCCTCATCATTCTGACACACTTTGAGCCTACTGTTACAGTCACTATGTCAATCTATCTTGTTGAAAGTCTTTTTTGACGCTGAACCTCTATGTTTCCAAGCATGATGTTTTCCAAGGAATAGCCTCTCCTACAAACATCTTCAAAGGACATGCTTTGCCATCTTGGCTCTCAAAGAGCATGCATGCAGGTACGAAAAAAAATAAAGAATTTGAGTGAAATTTTAAAATTATTTAAAATGATTGCTCTATCATTCATACATGTTTACTTTTATAACATTAACCAAAATTGATTAGTATAATTAATTAAATAATTACAATGTCTATCAATTATTGTATATTGCCTTTTCCTTCCTCCAGCTTCTCTTTATTATTTTTCACTTCCCTATTCTACCCTTTCTCTCTTCTAAATTAGTTCTATATAGCATGGTAGTAAATTTTATATGTAAAAATACAAATATGAAACACACTTTTTGATGATGCAGTGTTGACAGAATGCTCTTGACATTAACTGTGTACCAGCAAAATCAAACCCATTGTTTGCTACTGAGTAGATTACAACTCATAGTAGACTTCTAGGACAGAGCAGATCCACCTCACAGGGTTCCCAAGGCCATAAATCTTCACAGGAGCGTACTGTCTCATCAATTCCTAGAACCACTGACTGGTGGGTTCAAATATGGGATCGGCTGGTTAGCAGCCCAATACATAACCCATTGTGCCACAATGACACCTACCAAACTACGTGGCTCTTAAAATTGAAATTTATATAGCAAATGAATTAAAATACCTATGTTGTTGTTGTTATGTGC